CGCTCTGCCGTTGAAAGAAAACAGCCTCGCCACTTTGCCCCATACCCTGCTATTAATGATCTTATCCTTTAAGGTATCTTTTAAACACACATCAAGGACACGAGTGGGAGCATTTCCGTGGTCATGTCTAATGGGGATCAGTCTTGCCCTGTAAGATACTTGTATTTTTGCTTAAATCAGGAGAAAAAGAAACCGAACAGCATTGTACTGAAATGCAGAAATAATATTTCTTTTGCCACACAGGTAGGAAGAGAAAATTAAATCATGCATCAGCAGCAGCCCTTACAATAGAGCTCTTACCCTTTGGCCATTTCACCTGTGGGTCTGAAGTTGGGTTGGCACAGGCTCGTAGTCAAGCAAGGCAGACACCCATATGAACATGATGAAATAGTACCCCGTTATGTACGGTTGAACCAGGTTCACTGAAGCCAGTCCTGGCAGGCAGATGGCACTGCATGGTGGTCCCAACAGGGTGGTCTCCATTCAGCTGCAGTGCCCTGTAGCTGCATCGCCATAGGGGTGCCGTGCTGGCCACAGCATCCCCTGGACCAAGCAGTGTAGCCGCTGTGTGGTGTTGGCCGTGGTGCCATGGTGCCGTAGGGCTGCGGGGCTGTCGTGTCCTGCATGCTGTGCTTGTCCATGGTTCAGGCAGTGCCGGGAGGACAGCTGGAGGGCGGCTCCACCATGCGGCATGGCCCAGGCTCACCCTGGACACTGTGCCAGGCAGCTGCCAGCCATGCTGCCCAGGGGTTTGGCAGGAGCCTGAGTGCTTTTGGCCCCACTTGTCGCCCCCGCATCAGCCAGGAAGGGCGCTGTGTGGGGCAGCCCAGTGAGTGGGTTCTTTTGTACCTTCATGCCATATATTGTAAAGACAGTTGTTACCATCACGTCTTGCCATCGATGATGGACGTCGTGTTTCCAGACTCAGAGCAGCTCTGGCCATTGGCTCTGTGGCGCAAAGAGACAGTCCTGCGTGTCTAGGCAGCAGAGCATCCCCCGTGGAAGTGCCCCTCTCTCCTCAGTTCTCTGCAGCAAACCTGTTTACATTGTAGCCTGACTTTTTTCATTTTATATTTTTACTTCTGCATGTCCTTTGCATTTCAGATACTGTAGATTGGATGCATGGTGAAGCTGTGACTGAGAAGATAATACAACAATTGACAGTGTATTTCATTTAACTTTTAGCAATAAAGTAACTAAACCCTCTATTCCTCACCCATGATGGGGTCAGATAGAAAACTCTGCTAATTTGTCATAAGATGATTGTCAAAGGTTGCTCTGGATTGTCTGAATGTCAGAACTCTCGACTGTTTAACACTTGAACATTTTTTATATTATAAATAAAATAAGAAATAAAAAGCTGTGGGCTTCATTAATCTCAAGCAATCTGGGGGGCAAAGGGGGAGGTGTGACAGGTACCATACACAGAACTACAGGCTGGTTGAGGTTGAAAAAGGCTTCTGGAGGTCATCTGGTCCAAGCGCCCTGCTTAACAAGCTCACCCAGAGCCAGTTGCCCAGGACTGCGACCAGGTTTTGAATATCCCCAGGGATGGTGACACCACAGCGTCTTTGGGCAACCTCTGACAGTACATGGTCACCCTCACAGCAAAACATGTCTCCTTGTGTTCAGAATGAATTTCCTATTTTTCAATTTGTGCCCGTTGCCTCTTGTTCTGTCACTGGACGCTACTGAGAAGAGTCCATCTCCCTCTTCTTCATCCCCTCCCATCAGGTATTAATACACATGGATACGGTCCCCCTGAGCCTTCTCTTCTCCAGGCCTGTATGGTCCCAGCTCTATGAATGATGCTCTGGTCCCTTAAACATCTTTATGCCCATAGAGCCCCAGGAGTGGGGTTTTTTTCTACCTAGCATGGATATTTAACCTTCACTGCAGGGCTCAGGAGTGGAGGCTCACTGAGATGAGTGGATTGCTACCTACATGTCTTCTGGGGGAATGCCATTCCTTCTCCTGCACACCAGGACATCCCCCTTCACCCCACCCGTGGAAGTTTTCTCTTGTGCCAAGAAAGGCCAAGATGCATGGCACATGCTTCACATGCTGGCACTGATTTAATAGAATCATAGAAAGGTTTGGGTTGGAAGGGACCTTAAAGATCATCTAGTTCCACCCCCCTGCCACGGGCAGGGCCAACTCCCACCCAAAGCCTCATCCAGCCTGGCCTTGAACCCCTCCAGGGATGGGGCACCCACAGCTTCTCTGGGCAACCTGGGCCACTGCCTCACCCCCCGCACAGGAAGACATTTCTTCCTAATATCTAGTCTAAATCTGCCCTCTTTCAGTTTAAATCCATTACCCCTCATCCTGTTGCATACTGTCGTAAATAGTCCCTCCCCATCTCTCCTGTAGCCCCCTTCAGGGACTGGAAGGCCGCTATAAGGTCTCTCTGGAGCCTTCTCTTCTCCAGGCTGAACAACCCCAACTCTCTCAGCCTGTCCTCACAGGGGAGGTGCTCCAGCCCTCTGATCATCTTCGTGGCCTCTTCTGAACCTGCTCCAACAGGTCGACGTCCTTCTTGCATTGGGGGGCCAGAACTGGACGCAGTACTCCAGGTGGGATCTCATAAGAGCAGAGCAGAGGGGCAGAATCCCCTCCCTCAGCCTTCTGGCCATGCTTCTCTTGATGCAGCCCAGGATCCGGTTGCCCTTCTGGCCTGCAAGCGCACATTGCCAGCTCATGTTCAGTTTTTTATCTACTGACACCCCCAAATCCTTCTCCTCAGGACTGCTCTCAAGCCATTCTCTGCCCAGCCTGTATTTGTGCTTGGGATTGCCCCGACCCAGGTGCAGGACCTTGCACTTGGCCTTGTTGAACTTCATGAGGTTTGCATTGGCCCACCTCTCCAGCCTGTCCAGGT